TAATAATAAAATAAATAGAAAAAATGGATCAAATATCTCTAGAAGGGAAGACCAAAACCTAAAATAGGAATATAATGGCTAACCTCAGAACAATGAGGTAAAAATAGATAGCCATGAGGACAGGCAGTCAAAGCATAATAAAGCATTTATTATCTACTTGAAAAAGCCCTTTTGAGGTGAAACACATTTAGATATTGTTTTTATTACCTTATAATAAAGAAATTATTTTTGGCATAGAACACTTTATTGCCATTTTCTTTCTTTTCACCTGACTATACATATATTATATACTCTACAAGAAGCTTAAAGAATCCACAGGTGGGGATTATACCACCCAAGCGCTTACACCGAGCAGTACAAGCCTGCTCCAAATAATGTGAGTAGTATATTTTATACTCTTTTAACCTTTAATTATAATACAGAGAGCACTATATTTTAATTTCTTCTTCTGGGTCTAACAATACCAATTTGGACGCCGAACCTGTGCCAGATATTCGCCAATCAAATATTACTCCGCGTATCCTTGAGTGGGGATTATTCCACTTCACGTGCACAATATCAGAGCTGGATTTTAGCTCTGAAAAGTGTGAGTAAGACTATTTTTCACTATTTTATAATTTTATTCCTCTATATACTGTGCCATTGGAGTCCTGTTTTTATCTTTCTTCTCTCTACATATGCTCCACTGAATTTCAAGCATATAGCCGTGAAGACTTAACTCCACTCAACATCCCAAGAATCCCTTTTCCACACGTGGGACCTATCATTATGGATTTATGATAAGTTTTTTGGACTATTGGAATTCATTTATTTTATTTTAATATTTTAATATATTTTATACGTTTCACTAAATATTTTAGGCGCACCCTTATTTTACTGTTTTTTTGTGTTCATTCCTTATATTGTGTTTAAAACCAGTTCTGAGTCTCATTTTATTGAGACTTTACCACTCTTTATTTTGTTAATGCATGAGAACCTGTGTTGGTTACAGCCAGAGCTATGTTGGCCATTAGAGTAAGAACATGTATGTCCTGTTATCAGCACATGTAATACACTTTCTTTACCCTTCTGTCACCCGATTTTCACTTCTCATCGGGGAGGATAAACATCCATTTGTTTATTTACTTTTAATGTTTATGTATTTGTTTATTTTTAACCCCTTAATCCCTTAAGGACTGAGCCAAATGTACACGTTGTGATCAAAACGTAAACAAAAAACTTGAATTTGCGCTATATGTCTGTTCAGGCGTATTTCGCCTCTTTCATATTATGTGCACCCACACATATTATATATCATTTTATTCAGGGGAAACAGGGCTTTCATTTAACATTAAATATTTAGGTATGAAACATAATTTTATATTAATAAAATATTAAAGAAATGGGAGAAAATACGAATTTTTCAAACATTTTTAGTTCTATGTGACATTCTAACTGTGAATGTCATAGTACTGTTTGCTTTTACTGCAATAAAATACACATATTTGTATTCAGCGATGTCTCATGTGTAAAACAGTACCCCCTTATGTACAGGTTTTATGGTGTTTTGAGAAGTTACAGGGTCAAATATAGCATGTTATATATTTCATTTTTTTCACATTGAAATTCGCCAGATTGGTTACGTTGCTTTTGAGACCGTATGTAGCCCAGGAATGAGAATACCATTGCAATAGTAGACAACCCAAGGTATTGCAAATGGGGTATGTCCAGTATTTGTTAGTAGCCACTTGGTCACAAACACTGGCCAAAGTTAGCGTTAACATTTGTTTGTGCGTGAAAAATGCAAAAAACTAATTTGAACGCCAATTTTGACCAGTATTTGTGACTAAGTGGCTACTAAAAAAGACTGAACAAACCCCATTTGCAATACCTTGGTTTGTCTACTATTGCAAATGGTATGCCATCATAGGGGTAATTTTTTTTATTCCTGGGCTACCATACGGTCTCAAAGGCAACGTAACCAATCTGGTGAATTTCAATGTGAAAAAACGGAAACGCAAGCCTTATATTTGACTCTGTAACTCTTGAAAACATCATAAAACCTGTACATGAGGGATACTGTTATACTCGGGAGACTTCGCTGAACACAAATATTTGTGTTTCAAAACAATAAAAGTATCACAGCAATAATATTGTCAGTGTAAGTGCCATTTGTGTGTGAAAAATGCAAAAAAAGTCACATTCACTGACGATATCATTGTTGTAATAAATTTTACTTTTTTGAAACACTAATATTTGTGTTCAGCGAAGTCTCCTGAGTAAAACAGTACCCCCCATGTACAGGTTTTATGGTGTCATGGAAAGTTATAGGGTTAAATATAGTGCTAGCAAACTAAATTCCATATACCTTCGGCCTGGGTTGTCAGGCAGGTCCCGCAAACTGTAATTAATAAAATGACGTAATTTGGTGTGTGAAATAGATAAAAATCCATACACCTTAGTAAATTTATACTTACCAAACGTAGACCCAGTGTCAATGTTAGCTAAGATAATGAGTAAGATACAAAACATAATGAAAGGCTCATGATTATCGCTGGGGATTTTAATTGTGTACTGGATCCTAAGATGGATAAAATAGCAGATAGTAACATGAAGTGTGATAATAGAACCATAAAACAATCTAAGAAATTGATGGCCCTGTGCAAAAGGTATGATCTATATGATGCATGGTGCACAATACACCCTATGGAACGGGACTATACCCATATATCTAGTGCACACGGCTCATATTCGAGAATCGATATGTGTATGGTAAATGCTAAGATGATTCCGATCATTAATAAAATTATTATAAAAGAGAATTTTTGTCTGATCACAGTTTTATACTAATCGACATAGGGAAATCCCACAGATATCCAATGAACTCTTGGAGATTGAATGATAAGCTAATTAAAATTGATACGAATAGAAATGAGATATCTAAACTTTTAAAATAGTTTTTTGCAGAAAATAACCCTATTGAAACCTCACACATTGTAAATTGGTGCGCCCATAAAGTGGTCATGCGAGGTTATTTTATCAAATTGGATCATATACAAAGGGAAAAATCTGGAAAAAACTTATACATAGCTTTTTATAATCTTTCTAAACTGAACAAATTACAACCTTTACGTGAAAGAAAATTAAAATTAAATGATTTACAAAATTTGATTAACTTAGAAACTGAGTAAAAAAATTAAAACAACTATGAAATTAAAAAATTATTATACAGGGAATTGGGCTAATAAAAACTTAACTAGGAAATTGCAAAACCAGAGATCAAGAAATAGAATAGAAAAACTTGAAGATGACCAAATGATCTATACCTCACCCGAACAAATCGGAAAAAATTTTAATAAATTTTATCAGGAATTATATAATTTAAATATAAATCCAACAGATATAGAAATACAAAAGTATTTAACTAACACAAAGGTTACAAAAATTTCAGAAGAAGATATCTTTACATTAAATCAACCAATCTCTATTGAAGAAGTTGATAGACAAATAAGTACATTAGGACTGAATAAAACCCCAGGCCCTGATGGGTATACAAATCTATATTATAAGATGATGAAATCTACATTGATTAAACCTCTTACAGAGTTCTTTAATGAGTTTGCATCAAATAACAAAATCCCTAAAGAACTACTTCAATCAAATATTCTCCCTATTTTAAAACCAAACAAAGATAGTAGATATGTAGAAAATTATAGACCAATCTCGTTAATTAATGTAGACGTTAAATTATATGCCTCAATTATTGCTGAAAGATTGAAAATTATTATACCACAAATAATACATACAGACCAAACTGATTTATGTCCAAAAAGGTCTATAACCAATAGTGCGAGAAGAATTTTGGATATATTGGATCAATCCAGAAAGAGGATGATTCCCCTGCTGGCCCTGTCATTAGACGCAGCAAAAGCGTTTGACAGGGTCGGCTGGGGATATATAGTGAAGCTTTTAGAAGGATTTGGGTTTAAGGGTATGATTTTCAATGCTATTATGGCACATTATTCGGTTCCATCTGCGAGAACGGTTGGAGCTAATATTTGTGCAGAATGGTTCGATTTAAAGAATGGCACAAGACAGGGGTGCCCTTTGTCACCTCTCCTGTATATATTATCAATGGAACCATTAGCAATTAACATTAGAGATAATAGTAACATTAAGGGTTTTTATACCGCTATAAGGGAAATAAAAATGTCTCTATGTGCGGACGACACTACTATCATATTGACATCCCCTGAACAATCTTTACCAGAATTAATGAAAGAAATCAATAAATATGCTTTGGTTTCGAACTATAAATTAAATATATTAAAATCGACGGTAATGTATAAGAATATAGATAAACTGACAGTAGAAAAATTGAGAAAGGAATAAAAATGTATTTGGACTATAAGAGCAATAAACCATTTAGGACTTTTAATTCCAGCTAGAGTAGGAAACACTATGGAAATTAACGTAATGGAACTGTTAAAATACACAAATAAAACATTGAAGTCATGGAGAAACATGAATACATCATGGTGGGGGAAAATGAATGTTGTAAATGCATATATAGTACCTAAATGGTCCTATCTATTTTCAATGCTCCAATTTAGAATATCTAAAAGCTGGCTTGGTATGATTCAAGCCAGTTTTTCATCTTGTATCTGGAAAAACAAAAAGCCCAGGATCAGATTAAAAGTACTCTCTAAGAAGATAAAACAAGGTGGTTTAAACTAACCCAATGTAAAACGTATATATTATGGGAATATAGTCAAACATGTATATAATTTACAAGAACAACATATCAGGGTAGAACCCTGGTACATTATTGAAGCAGAAGCTACTAAAACTAAGAACTTGGAATACTATCTATGGTTAACCCCTTAAGGACACATGACATGTGTGACATGTCATGATTCCCTTTTATTCCAGAAGTTTGGCCCTTAAGGGGTTAAATAGCAATAAGAAATATATAGAGACTCTTATAGATAAATCATTAATATTATACCATCTTTTACAAGTTTGGGAGGAGATTAAAAAAGCTCTGGGAATTGTCAAATATATACTGAAAACCTGCAAATTTACTGTGCTAGAACAGAATATGAAAGATTTATCACTAAAATACTGGCCAAATAAAGATTGAATTTCCATTTTACAAATAATGAAGATACGATTATTTCATCCCAAGAGGTGGTTACTAACTTTCATGTCCCGCATAGGGAAATTTTTACATATTTAAGAATAAAACATTTTCTAGCCATTACTATTTTAAAATCTTCATTTCAGACAGCTGGTTTCAAGCTGGTTTCATTTAATAACAATTATGTTAATAAAGTCATCTCCAAAGCAAATCTTCTCCTGGATTTACTAAATGATATTCCAACGAAAATAATAAATTCTTGGGAGCAAGACCTAGAGTTAACTATAACATTGGAAGAATGGTGTTACTCGCTAAGACAAACGTATAAATATATCCATTGTTTGAATTTGACAGTGTCACTTTAAAGATATAAATAAATGGTATTTAACCCCCCAAAAATTAGCTAAAATGTACCAAGAATGCGATCCCACGTGTTGGGGTTGTGGCAATGACATAGGTTCTTATATTCATATATGGTGGTCTTGCCCATGTGTCATCACTATATGGTTTGGGGTTTTTAATCTCTATTCTGTTTTGACAGGTATTCAATTAACATTCTCCCCTACAGTTGCATTACTACATGTAAAGTGGAATTTAAAATCAGGAAATTATATTTGTATTGCTGTCCATTGCTTTATAGCTATGAAAATTATAATAGCGAGAAATTGGAGGTCTTCTATGCCTCTTCAAAAGCATCATATCCTTTCTCAAATTAAAACACAACTGAACATGGAAAAAACTCTCACGGTTAACCATATTTCTCAAATTTAAAAAAAAATGATGTATATGAAAACTGGTTAAACATATTATCATCTTTGTAAATTAACCATGAATTTTAATATAAATCTAATTTGGTTATTATGAATATATAAAAAATTTATGTCCGATAACCCCTGGTATTAATGAAGTACATTTATGTATTGTGTATTACTTTGTATTTTGTGATTAGTGTTGTGATTTTGAGATTGAAATGTTATGATTATAAATTATGTATATAATTGTATTTGTCAAAAACGTAAATAAAGAAATATTGAAATTTAAAAAAATGATGTAATTATGTAAAATTATTACATAAATATATACATAGATTTATTATATATGTGTGTATATATATATATATATATATATATATATATATATATATGTGTGTATAGATATATATATGTATATAATTTTTTAAAGATGAAAATTTATTCATACTCCCGGTGGGTTGTGGCCGTGTGTGGAAGGCCACTCCCAGGTGGTACGTCCTGCGGTCTCCGCCTGTTCTGTATGGTTTGGTTCGGTCAGTCTCCCATGTCTCCCCTTTTGGGGTGTCAGCTGTCCTCGCCAAAGGACGTGTGTATGGATGGTTCGTCACCCTGGGCGTATAACATTATATAATACAAGTTAATACTTAAACTTTAACGTGTATATTCGAACTGAAGTTAGATAACATTGCGGCTAGGCCAGCGTGACCAGCAATGTTTTCAACAATAACATTAAAAGGAGAATGTAATAAATTCAATAAGCACAGTATCTGTGAAGCCCCCGCAGCGAGTTGCCCTTCATAAATGCATGGGGGGTAAGCGTATCATGCCCCGTTCTTGGTACTCTGGATATGTTTTCTAAGATGAACTCTCCGCTTTTTGATGTTAATGTGAGATGTGGATCTCTGGGATCTACCCGGGTTCCCCTGCCTCCCCCTCTGCTCCACTGGGCCTTGTCTGGCTCCCACTCCCTCCCCTCCCCGAGCCCTGCCTTCAATGTGCTGCCTTGTGGCCCTCTAGGTCCCCGAGTGGACCGGGCCCTCGCCTCCCCTGCCCCCGCTCCCTGGAGGGTCATCATGGGATCTGTGTTGGGGGAAGCGGTTGCCCGGGTCAGTCGGCCTTTTTGCGTCGTCCCCCCCCGAGCATGAGAGCAAGTCTCCTGTCAAGGTGTTCCCGACTTTCTTTCCTTATTTCCCCTTGAGCGGGTGTGCTGGCTATGTGAGATGTGTGTGGGATTGTCCATAATGCCTGTCAGGCGGGTGTGTCAGATACTTGCGATTTGCTCGGAAGGTATAAGTCCAATAGTCCCTGGATCTGGCCTGTCCCGGCCTTGTATCGGTGACTACCTCCGCCTGTGGCATAGGTCCCACCTTGGCGAAGATCGTCAGTTCTAAGGTGGTATGTTGGTGTTATGGCTTGAGGTTTTCCTCGGGTCGACTTGTCTCTACGGAGGCTTTGGTCCGTGAGTGCTGCAGGGTGTGAGTTCCCGGTGCATAGTCTGGTGGCAAGGGTAGGGTCTGTCGGATGGGGCTGCAACTTGGTGATGTGGAATGTCCCGGTCGGACTTGGTATGGGCCCCTCGCTACTCGGGCGTGCTTCTCTGTGTCAGGGTGTGATTATTTGTGTTGGTCGGCCGGTGTCGTCCGCATACTAGGCGTGGGTTGGTTGTCCCCCTTAGGCTTGTGCCCCCGAGGGCCTGGTCGCTTGCTGGCGGGTGGTCTTCTGGATCTGTGGTCTGGTAGGTGGGTTCTGGGTACCCGTGGCAGGTGTATATAGTGCTAATTGGTCTGGCCATTGCATGTGAGCAGGGGTTAGTTGGAGTTCCTCCGCGAGGTCATTCAGGTCTTTCCTGTCCTTGACGATGAAGGGGCCTTTAGGAGTATGGACGTGCAGCCCGGTTGGGAAGCACCAGCGGTACCTGAGTTTATTCCCCTGCAGTTGTTTGGTGAAGGGGCGTAGAGCCTGCCGGTATGCTAGTGTGGCAGGTGATAGGTCGGGGTAGAGTTGTACCTCTGTGTTCTCTAGGTACACCCTGCCCGAGTCTCTGGGCCTCCGGAGTATTTCTTCCTGAAGTTGGAAGCTCAGTAAGCAGCATACTATATCGCGAGGTGGGCTCCCTGCTGGGCCTTTGGGCCGCAATGTTCTGTGGGCTCGTACAAATTCAATTGAGTCCTGCGGGGAGCGGCCTAGTATGTTGTTGAATAGCCCAGTCAGGGTGGCCTGTACTGCGGTGGTGTTGTCTATCTGCTCCGGCACTCCGCGTATTCTAATGTTTTGTCTCCTGCTCCGATTATCAAGATCCTCCATATGTTCAGCAGAAATAGGGCTGTCATTTTATATCAACTCTTTATATATGAAACACAATTTAATATAAATAAAAACTAAAAAAGTGTGAGAAATGAAAACATTTTGAAAAAGTTCTGCATGCCATTTTAACTGTGAATGTCATAATACTGTTAGCTTTAACTACAATAAAAATTTAAATTTGCCGGATTGGTTATGTTGCCTTTGAGATCATACGGCAGCCCCAAGATTAAAAATAACCCCCATCACGGCATACCATTTGTAAAAGTATCCAACCAAGGGTTTTCAAATGAGGCATGTACAGTCTTTTTTTAGTAGCCACTTATTCACAAACCTTGGCCAAAGTTAGCCTTCATATTAGTTTTTTTGCATTTTTCATTTGTAGTCGCATTAATCGCTATGCATTTTGCTGCTCTAAAACACTGAGATTTGTGTTCACTGATGTCTCATGGTTACAACAGTATACCCCATGTAAAGGTTTTATGATGTTTTGGAAAACTACATGGCCTGGTATAGGGCTTGCAAATTAAATTATCTGGTATTTCTGCCTGGGTTGTCATGCAGACCCCCCCAATATATAAATAATACAATTATATAATTATATATAAAATAGCCATTCCCGCCCATCTATGTCATGTGATCGCAATGACACCACAATTACATGGCTCCGATCAAATATTTATATATATATATATATAAATATAGATTTGATTCCAACTGTATTTTTTTTTATTATTTATATATAATTACATTATTTTTATTAATGATAAGTTAGGGAATCGGTCTGAAAGCCTAGGCAGTCAATCTGTCAATCACACCAATCCGTGTCATGTGATTGTGGTATCATCGTGATCACATGATGCGGATGGGCGGGATTGCCTGCAGGGGAACTACCTCAGTTGTCGGGCAGTTCCACGGATCATCACTGGCAGCATGGTGAGTATCTGGGCTATGGGAGGGCCCTACTGTTAGAGTGTGCTATGCCACCCTACATCGTTTAAGCCCACCTATTGTAGGACAGCATAGCATGCCCTTTGTCATTAAGGGCTAATAAAATGTTTTTTAATGAAAAATGTGCCAAAAGTTAAGTTTATATTTATTTATTAGGCAGCAAGTGAAAGTCAGTTCTTGAATTTCATGTGTTAGAAGCAAGAAAAATGGGCAAGCAAAAAGATCTGAGTGACTTTAACAAGGGCCAAACAGTGATGGTTAAATAACTGGATCGGGGGGCAGGGCCTGACTGCAGAGCGGAGCAGTCGCTTGTCGCTGCTGCTCCTGCATTTATCCTCACATAGTGCCAATTCTCGGTGTGCATGGGCTGTGACCCGACTTATAGTGGCTACCAAATGATGGGGGACACTGAGACCAGCGAGATGATACCACCGGTACTGACCTCCCAGATGTTGCGGCCTACAAGCATGGCGGTTGCTGGAGAGACAGCCGCTCTCCCGCCGCCCCAACATACTGCAAGGCAAAGCTCGAGCCACCATTCCCCCCCCCATGGACCAGCAGAGGTTATCCCGGCCCCCACCAATCCAACACACACAGCCATATGGGCTGCAGCTGCCCACTCAAGCTTGGGCTCCGGATGCACCGGGCCCAGCAACATGGTGGACGCAACACACATAACGAAGCCTGCTCCCACACGACCCCAACCCACAAACCTGGACCTGATATTCCAGCATTTCTGGGACATACTGGAACGACTTCTCGCAAGGCCCTCCTCAGCACACGGAGGTACATCACAGAGGATGGGGAGGCAGAAAAGGAGATTACCTCCGCAGCATCAACCACACCGCCGGAAACCCAACTGCCGCTGGCGGCGGCAGAACACCGGCATTTCCGTGACGCCCACTTAGGGAAAAAACGGCCTTCATGAGCACCCGAGTTTGTGGCACACAGTTGCAGACCACATATGAAGCCTGGGGCCGGGAGGAGGCTTCACCATTTTAATAACTCACTTGCAACCTACAGACCCCCCAAGCACCAGCCTCTACAATTCCACGCGAGGGAATCGGCTGATGAAGAGGTCCATGTATTGCGCCCAAGCAAGTGAGTGACCACAAAACCCGGTCTGACACCCAGGGAGAATCTCACCGCTCCTGCTGAGCATCACCTAACCCACACAAGTGGACACTTTCAGTGATCTCTAGATGCTTGAAGGGAGTAAATATGTTGGTTTAGCTCACCTTGGGGGTCCCTATACCTGCAGATACCCTAAACAGTGTGCAGCATGTGTGTCCTAAGGTGGCAATAAGCCTGTTAATTTAAGCTAAAGCAGTTGAATTATGATT